AGGAAGGGTACATAAAGTACCAGCAGACAGGATGGAGGACATAAAGTCCCAGCTGACAGGAGGGGTACATAAAGTTCCAGCAGACAGGAAGGGTACATAAAGTACCAGCAGAGAGGATGGAGGACATAAAGTACCAGCAGACAGGAGGAGGACAAAAAGTGCAAGCAGATAGGAGGAGGACATAAAGTACCAGCAGAGAGGAGGACATAAACTAGTAGTAAACAGGAGGACACAAAGTACCTGCAGACCGGGGGAGTACATAAACTACCAGGAGAGGAGAAACTAAACTATAAGCAGAAATGAGGATCTAAACTACCAGCAGAGGAGAAGAACATATAGTACCAGCAAAGAGGAGGTCCAAAACGTCAAGCAGACAGACATAAACTACAGAGAGAAATATCTAAACTACATGCAGGTAGGAGGATCAGAACTGATAGACTGAAGTAGTAGATAAGAAATAAACTCCCAGCAGACATGAGGCTCTAAACTACCAGCAGGGGAGATGATACAAACTATCAACAGACAGAAGGACAGAAACTCCCAGCAGATAGAAGGACCGACAGTGTGTCCATCAGAGAGCAGAGCTCGTGTTTCAGGCAGCTCAGACGGACATGCGCACAGCTGACGGAGGAGAGGCACATCTGCACTGACGTCACCGGCCTCCATGAAAGCAGCCAATTTGAAGCTGTTCTGGACAGACTGCTGTGTGGCGAGGAGGAGCAGCAGCTCCGAGCCAACTGTTGCTGCTGTGAAGCCCGTTCTCCCCCCGACCCTGAGATACGAGCATGGACACAAAGTCCAGATGATCAGCAGCACAGACAGAACCTTCTGCTGGAGGACAGCTCACTCTCCGCACAGCTGAAGAACTTCTTGTTTTCACACAGTGTCGGTTTGAGACGGTGCTGCTGCGTGCGCGCGTGTCCGGGCCGAAGGGGTGGTGGGGGCAGATCCAGAGGATGGCAGAACTCAGAAGGAGTTGAGAGGAGCAGAGAGGAGGAACTTCAGAGGTGCACGCGTCTTTTGCACACTGGGACAGTGAAGATGAGCATGGTAAATATCTCCTATCGCGCGCGCGCGCACACACACACGCTTAGTATCTTCCTGCTTGTTTCCGAACTTCTCAGACAGACGTGTTTCCAGCAGAACCTCGGTGTGATTTTGGGACACTTTCATGGAAAAACGCGCTCTTTACGCAACTTTTTCGCACGGTTCTGCGGAGTGTGCAGTTCTACAGGTCTACTGGAACCAGCAGTGAGGAGTCCTTGTTGATCCGGGTTGATCCGGGTCGGCTGCCAGCTCAGACCCACTCTGCTCTCACCTGACTGTCCGGTCTGGACGTGTCTGCGCGCGCCTTGCTCTCCACACCGAGTCAGTCATCAGTCTGAAAGACCCAAAGAGAAACCACCCGGCTGGTTCGGAGCCGGACCTGTGGGACTTGTTAAGGTCCAACAGGTTGACGCGTTGAACATCTCGAGCTGGAAGTTATGGTTTGACTCATTTAAAATGCTCATTGCAAAGACGTGAAAAACAACAACAACAACAACAACAAAAAACAACCATCACCAAAGAAACAAAACATAAACAACCAAAACAAAGTCTTTACTTTTTTCATTTTGATGGAAATGTATCCTTAAATGAAAAGCTTCCACCTGTGGTTGTTCCCCATGAACAGCCGAAGAGTTTGATGTGTTGCTACGCATTTATGCCCAGATTTGTTGAGATTTGTAGGCAGATTAAGGTGCTTTGTTTACATTGAGTGCATACCCACATTTCAGAATCCCATATCAATATATCTGAAAAAGTTATGGAGTAAAGTCTATGAGACAAAGTCCAGGAGAATTTTTTTAAGTTTGAATTTGTTATTTGCAAAAAGGAGCTTTAAACTGAAGCCAGATGAGGGTTTGAACTCAAGAGCGTCACACTTGGAAGGTTCTGTATACCGGTATATTTTTTTTTTAAGGGGGCGATTGTTTGCTACAATTCTCAATTAAAGGCTTAGCATTCCCTGGAAAGAATGCATATCTCCCACCACTTTTCAAGTCAGAATTTTAGTCTTAGATCATCTTCTGCAGAAGAGTGACAGAGTTATAATCCTTCTGGTCAGAGTTTATGAACAATGTTATGCAAAATCTTTTTCTTTCAGCTCTTCCCTTTTCAGTGGTCTCTACAGAGTCATCCTTCTACATCTCACTCTGTCCTCACTCCAACTACCACCATGCCTTCTCTATCCTTATATTTCCTCATGGTCTTTTTCCTGGCAGTTGCATTTCTGACGTCCTTCTATCAATATACCCACTGTCCCTCCTTTACACCGTCAGCAAGTGTGAATAATATGATGGATCAGGATTTTACCATCCTCTTGACAAAATCCAGCACCATCTGTTCTTCCTGGTTTATTTCCTTGACACCAAACCTACCCATCACTTCCTCATCCCCTCTGTTTCCTTCACCAACATGTCCATTCAGGTCACCATCATTCTCTCATCTTTTGGAATACTCTCTATCACGTCATCCAGAACCTTCCCAAATTTATTTTTCTCCTCCACATCATATCCAACCTATGAAGCATAATCAGTGACAACATTTAGCATCAGACCTTCTACTTCTACATTCAGACACACCACCCTATCTGACACTCCTTTCACCTCTACTACATTCCTTTGAAACTCCAAGCCCTTCCACTTGGACTCTTGGACATCTACCTTCCTTCTTTGCATCATGTCAGCCAGCTCTCTACCTTTGCCTGTCATTGTCCCCACATTTAGAGTTGCAACCCTCAGTCCTACATTCTTCACTTTCCTCTTCTCCCTCTGCCTCCTGACACATTTCCCTCCTCGTGGTCTTCAAATAACAGTAACACAATTTCCACCAGCGCCCTGTTTGTCAACAGCACTGGTGGTGGTCTTTGTTAACCTCAACCAATCCACTATGGTTTCATTTAGAAGAACTTACATATTTGTTTTAGAAAAAGTGTTTTACCTCAAATGCTCTTGCTGACACAACCCTCACCATTTACCAGACTTAGGACCAGCCCAAGAGCTACACTGGCTTGTGCTCCTCAGTGGATATTTTAAATAATGATATTCACAATCTCATGTGATATTGTGAGATATTTTGCTTAAATATATCTTACGAATGACTCTCTGCTACTACCACAACAAATCTTAGTCCAATACATCTAAAACTGACTGAGTTAGAGCAATTTTGTGTTTCCTAAGGCTACATAGGTACTGCACCTTGAATTTTACTGACTTCAATAGTCATAGTTTTACATCTAATGATTTCTGAGCATTTTAATTAAAACCATCCAGTGGTTCACAACATAGTGTAGTTGTAACTACGGATACATTTCACACACAGATATACATTCACATGAAAAAAAAAGAAAAACATTCACCCTTTCATCTTTGCAGGGGGGTGGGGGGAATAACAATTTCCTTTTAATTATTTAATTTATTTTGGAACAACTTTGTACAAAATATTTAAATAAATGGTAAATGGACTGTACTTACATAGAGCCTTTCTATCTTATTTCAAGATACTCAAAGCGCTTTACACTACAATCTGTGCCTCATTTACCCATTCATACAGCTCTATACTAGATCTCTACAAAGCTAATTGAACAAATCATTCTAAAGAGACTAATCAGTGCTTGAGATCACATTCATACACCGATGGGACACACATCAGAGGCTATGAGGGGTTCAGTGTCTTGCCCAGGGACACTTCAGCATGTGACTGCTGGTGGATTTGAACCCCCAACTCTTGCATTGGAGGACGATTGCTCTAACCACTCAGCCACATCCGCCCCATTTTGCATATTTAAACATAAATGAAAGTCAGAGTCAGAGATTCTTTATTGTCATTCGCACCTCATGTGGTACATGTGGTGGAGCGAAATTATGTACACAGGGTCCCAGTTACATCCAACAATAAAATGTAAAAGAAAAACAGTAATAACATCTAAGATAAGAACTAAGAAAAACATCAACTAAATATACACTAAGCACTCATAACATGAAAACATTGAACGTCAGCACAAACATGAACATGAGTCTGTGTGAGCAGATGTGCACGCATGAACACATCAACATTGAAACAGATCAGCAGCAACATGAAACAGATCAGCAGCAACATGATGTGGTCTTTCACAGTGATTATTCTGGTTAGAGATTCATGAGTCTAACAGCCTCAGGGTAGAAGCTGTTCCTCAGTCTAGTGGTTCTACACTTAATGCTCCTTAACCTCCTTCCTGAGGGGAGTGGGGCAAAAAGTGTGTGTGCTGGGTGAGTGGGGTCCTTCATGATGCAGGTGGCCCTCTTCCTGCATCTGGAGGTGTAGATGTCTGTGATGGTGGGGATGCTGATTCTGACAGACTTCTGTGCAGCCTTCACCACTCTCTGCAAAGAGATGAAGGTAAACGTATGACCTGTGATGAACTGTCATCTTATGGTGTGCATCAAATGAAGAATTTGTTAAAAAAAAATAATAATCTTGGAAAAGTTTTTAAAATGTTTATTTCCAATGAGCTGTGAAAAAAAATCTAAAGATCATCAATTAAAAGTGTTTTAAAAGTAAAAAAAGACAACAAAAATCTCTGTTAAATACATGGAATGAACAATCATTTCTGTGATAAGGTGATCAATAAAAAGAGCAAAAATCTTTTTTTTATTTTTTTATTTTTTTTCCACAGGAGTACAGATGTGTACAGCCAAAACAAGTTTCCAGTGTCGCTCCTCTGGTTTGGAAGCACCGCTGAGACGGACCGACGAGTGTGATGGACGTCAGAGTTTCTGACATGAATTCAGAGGCTGTGTGGACGTGCTCGCCTTCAGGACACATCTGACACTTGGGAGTGCACGCGAGGATGCCAATAACCTTTCAGTGAAGAAGAGGAACCCACTGGGATGTGGTATTGAACCAAGGCTGTGTTTTTAGACCACCTGTAGCACCCTGCACCCCCCAACCCTATGTCACATGTGAGCCTGAATAATGGACGATTTGTGGAAGATGCTGACCTGGACACTGAGCTTGGTGGTGATGGCTGCTTCTGAATTTCAGAGTGCCAACAGACTCTCACATAAAAATCAAGGTAGGACAGGAGACAGGTGGGCACAAGTTCTGAAAAATTTATTGTTCAAACATCAGTAAAGTTTCAACTGTATATTTATTTATTTTGCAATAAATCTACTCTCTCAAAGTTCCTGTTATTTTTACCATCCTGAACCAAACCGTTCAGCTCATTCAGAAATAGTTTGCACTGATATTTGTATTTTTCATCTTGTATACTTTTCAAAATAACTTTAACTACTTTATTTTATTGAAACTAATATTCTCTATAGAAATACACAAATATATTTTTGGTTCCTTCAAAAACATTGATCTCTTTCAAGTTTGCTTTTGCATACTTGCTTTATTTTCAAATTCTTTAGCTACTTTTAGTTAATATTCTGCTGCATTTAGCTACAGTTCCACTATAGTTAGCTTCCAGCTCTTATTTTGCCAATTTTAGCTATGCATTTGCTACCTTTAGCTTTTAGCTACTGTTTTGTTTTTAGCTAATATTTTGCCACTTTTACCTTTTAGCTATAGTTCCACTATAGTTAGTTTAATTCCAGCTATTATTCCACCATGTTTTATTATTTAGCTAAATTCAGCTTTTAGCTACTGTACTGCTACTTTAAGCATCCAGATGTCACTCTTCCACTGGTGGCTTTTACTCTTATACCTGTCTAATTTTAGCTTTACAGTTTATTTCGTGAAAGTTACCAAATTTAGGTACTGTTCTTCATGTACTTCTGCTAAACGTATTCAACTACAGAACAGTCTAGTTGTTGCATTTTATTTTATTTAGGATTTACCTTGTCCTGGTTGGCTGAGAGTCTACACCAGCATTTCACAGAAAAGTAAATTCTCTAGTTTATTCTCTGCTCTCTCCTCTTCTGTTTTTCTGTCAAAGAGGAGTTCCTGTCTTACCTGCAGCACTACCAGTTGACCGTTCCGGTGCGGGTGAAAGAGAACGGAGAGTTCCTGAGTTATACTGTGAAGCACCAACGGCCGGGACGACGGAGGCGTGGGCTGACGGACCCCACGATGGGACCTGCATCACTTCCTCCAGAGTCTCATCTCTTCTACAAGCTGTCTGCTTACGGAAAGCACTTTCACTTAAACTTGACACTGAACCTCCACCTGGTGTCAAAACATTTCACGGTCGAGTACTGGGACAAAGAGGGGCTTGAGTGGCGTCACAATGTAGTGGATAGCTGTCACTATGTTGGATTCCTGCAGAATCAGCACGGCACGACCAGAGTAGCACTCAGCAACTGCAAGGGTCTGGTGAGTACAAAGTGCCTCCTTTTTAGTGTCTCATTCACAAACGGTACCTGAACTGAAAGGCCCAGCAGTCCTTCAAGCATGTGGTCCACTGCCTATGCCAGAGTTTTAGGTTATGTGTTGTTTTTGTTCTATTAGTGCTTACTATATTCTTACTTTAGCATTTTTCTTAGTTCATATCTTAGATCTTATTACTGTTTTTCTTTACAATTTATACTTTTGTTGGATGTAACTGGGACCCTGTGTACACTTGTTCTACTACATGTACCACATGTGGTGCAAACGACAAATGAAACTTTGACTTTGACTTATGTTAAGAACTAAATGAGTTATAATAATTTTTATCAAACATTGGAAAATAATTATGCAGAATTGCACAGTTTTGTAAAATATTGCAAAATTTAATACAATCAGTTAGCAATTGGAATAGGTGTTTTGAATAACTGTCAGTTAGTACCACAACAAATTTTAGCTCAGTATCTGTAAAATGCATTCAGGTATGGCTATTCTTACAAAGGCTAAGGCTAATCAGTTGTAGATATTCATACAATCATTGCTTTTTGGGAGTTTCATTGAAGTGTAGCATGTCCTTCATAAAATATTTTGTTGACAACCACAAATGTTTTGAAAAGTAAATGCCACGGTTTTAAGCAAAGATACGGCACAATGTGTCGTGCTTGAATTATGTGTTGTGAACAAAGCTCAGCCACTAACACTCTACATTTATACTCAGCATCTGAAAAGTTGGATGAGTTATAGCCAGTACTCGCCAGTATATAGTACCGGCACTTCTAATGGCATTTTTGCATTGGGAGACCTGACCTCACCGTGGTCGACCCAGCCCAGGTCTTTCCGAGCTCTGCACAGCCTGGTTGTCCCCATCACAGAGCACCCTCTTCACAATTTACATAAGTAATGTAGGTCAGATCATTTCTGATACATCCTTACATTTCTATACCAATGACACAGTTGTTTATTTTCGAGCTAGAACAGTTGCTAAGGTTTTCCAGTTTATACAGACTGCTTTCAACATCATCCAGTCAGATTTGTTCCATCTCAAACTGGTGCTAAATGCTGATAAAACCAAAGGGATGTTGTTTTCAAACTGGAAGTCGGTACCAGCAGTTCTTCCTTCTATCTTATCTATGAATTGTGTTTCTATTGAGTTTGTAGATTCTTACAAATACTTGGGAATCTTGGTGGATGCACATCTCTCTTTTATGTTGAAAATTTGGTAAAGAAATAGAAAGTTAAATTGGGTTTCTTTTGCAGAAATAGATCCTATCTAACTCTGAATAACACCTTGTAACTGCAACTTTCCTTCCGGCCATTGACTACGGTGACAGCCTCACCAACATCCTTAACTCTGTAGCTCCTCTGAAAACCCGGTCTGTCTCCTTCTCCAACTCTGCACCCTGGTTCACTCCAGAACTCCGTTCTCTGAAATCCAAAGGTCGGAGGTTGGAACGACTCTATAAGAAATCTGTTCTCTCATTTCACAAGGAACTCTATGCGAACCACGTCATCCAGTATAAGGACAGTATTTCTCAAGCCAAATCCAGCTACTTCTCTGACATCATCAGTTCCAATGTTGGCAATTCAAAGACTTTGTTCTCTCTCCTTAACCATTCAGTCTCATCTTCTAACTCATTACCCTCTCACATGGTTTCCACAGAATTTTGCAACTCTCTGATGTCCTATTTCAATGAAAAGATTCTTTCAATTCATAAACACCTTGGACCTAATACCGCACCCAGCATCGATGTTGAACTCCCCCCTCCCTCCCTCCCCTTCTCTGTCTTCTCCCTCCCCTCTGCTGATGACATTGCTGACATTATCAGCAAGTCTAAGTCCTCATCCTGTCAGCTTGATCCATTTCCCACAGTTCTTGTTAAATCCTGTCTTCCGTCTCTGCTCCCCATCATCACTAACATCATCCACTTCTCCCTAACCTCTGGCATTGTTCCCACAGCTTTCAAATCTGCTGCCATCACCCCCATCATCAAGAAACCAGGTCTTGACTTTACCAACTTCAGTAATCTTCGTCCGATCTCTAATCTGCCCTTTATTTCCAAAGTTCTTGAAAAAGCCGTTGCTAGTCAACTTCACTCTCACCTATCCAACAATAACATTTATGAAGAGTTTCGATCTGGTTTTCGCCCCGACCATAGCACCGAAACAGCTCTAATAAAAATAACTAATGACCTTCTTCTTGCTGCTGACTCTGGTCTTCTGTCTATCCTCATTCAACTGGATCTAAGTTCTGCCTTTGACACAATCTGTCATTCTATCCTCCTCAACAGACTAACCTCCATTGGCATCTCAGGTACTCCGTTAGACTGGTTCAAATCTTATCTCTCTGACCGCACTCAATTCATTCAGTTTAAATCCTTTCGTTCCCAGTCTTCCCACATCTCTACGGGTGTCCCCCAAGGCTCTGTCCTCGGACCCCTCCTCTTCATCATTTACCTCCTTCCTCTAGGTCACATCTTCCATAAATTTGGTGTCCATTTTCACTGTTATGCTGATGACACACAGCTCTACTTGTCAACAAAACCAAACTCCACCCACCCACCCTCCATCCTCACCGATTGTCTCAATGAGCTAAATCACTGGTTTTCTAACAATTTTCTACAACTAAACAGTGACAAAACAGAAATCATTCTTGTTGGTACCAAAAACTCTATTTCAAAATCAGAACATCTTCTCACCCCCCTTAACAACTCTCTGCTACCCCCCTCGCCTCAGGTCAAGAGTCTTGGTGTCATCCTCAACACCACTCTCTCCTACACTTCACACATCAACAATGTCACTCGGTCTGCCTATTTCCATCTCCGAAATATTAACCGTCTCCGCCCTTCTCTCACACCCCACTCCACAGCCATCCTTGTGCACAGTCTTGTGACTTCTCGGATTGACTATTGCAACTCCCTTCTTTATGGCCTCCCCAACAAATCTCTCCAGAAGCTGCAATTGGTCCAGAACTCATCTGCCCGTGTCATCACTCAAACCTCCTCCTATAACCACATCACTCCTGTCCTGCAGCAGCTCCACTGGCTCCCGGTTAAATCACACATCGTCTTCAAAATTCTTCTTCTCACTTTCAAAGCTATCCACAACCTTGCCCATCCGTACCTATCTGACCTCCTACACATCTCCATCCCCTCTCGCTCTCTCAGATCCTCCTCTTCACTACATCTTCATGTACCCTCTGCCCGCCTCTCCACCATGGGGAGCAGGGCCTTCACCTGCTCTGCCCCTCACCTCTGGAACTCTCTACCCCCTGACTTACGAAACACCACTTCTCTTTCTCTATTCAAGACTGCTCTGAAAACACATTTCTTTAGACTCGCTTATCCTTAACTTTGCTGTATGTATTTTATATTCTTTATGTATTTTATATTCTGTATGCATTTTATATTCTTTATGTATTTTATACTTCAATTTATTCCTGTTGATCTTTCCACTGTGCTTGTTGTTTGTTTTAACACAATCTTTCTGATATGTTTCTTACTGTAAAGTGTCCTTGGGTGTCCTGAAAGGCGCTTTTTAAATAAAATTATTATTATTATTACTATTGCTTCACTTTTGCTTTTGGCAGTGGGTGATAACAAGCAGTCATAAAAGTGTCTGATAAGCCAGAGGCAGAGCTTAAGCTGCTCTGATGGTGGCTGCTCTTTCAGGGGATCCAGCTCAGTCTCTTGGCTCGTCTACACTTGGCAAAAGCAGCCTCAATGCATTTCGCAGTGAGGTCATCCATCCATCTGCTGAGATCACGTTTCTCTAATTATCAGATAACTTGTTCCTTTTTGTTTTAAAATGTAAGGCTTGCATTCTTCACCATCTGCTGCCCTTCATGGCAGTTTCAGACTGAAATCAATCAATGATGAGAAAGAACAGTTCTGTTTGTTTTGATCAAACCTGGTAGATGACATAGGACATAGTATGTGTTGGGTATGATTATCTTCAAATATCCATCCATCCATCCATCCATTATTTTTACCTGCTTCTTCCTTTTTGGGTTGTGGGGGTCACTGGTGCTTATGTCCAGCTATCACTGTGCGATAGGCGGGGGTCACCTTGGACAGGTCACAAGTCCATCACAGGGCCTATCTTCAACTACCACACCAAATTTAAACTCAATATCAGTATATTTGACTAAATTAATATAATTTTTGTGTTAACTAAGGTCAATTAGCTGTGGAGGCTATATTGAATTTTTTGACCTGAGTCAGAATTTTGTACCATAAACATGAAAATGTGAGCTGGTATGACAATGAAAAAAATCCTTGAATCCTTAATTCGAAAGGTAATCAGTTGAGACATACACCTTCTGTAAGTTTTACTAAAATCTCTCTAGCCTGTCATAACGTATTTCAACAACAGACAGTGCTGAGCCCAGCTTTTGTCCCCTGTCACAGAGCGAATTGGTAGAACTGGAAATATCCTCTGTCTGTCCGTCCGCCCATGTTGCTATCATAAAATTTGGTGAGGTAGCAACTTTGATTTTGGTGTGTGGCTACATCTAGGTGTAAGAAAGGTCAGTATCAAAAAATAGGTTACCACATCAAATCCAAGATGGCCATCACCATATACCACCCCTGTCATTTGAGGAAACAAAGCTTTCTTTTCTAGTTTTATCCATCCATCCATTATCGTTTACCAGCTTCTTCCATTTTGGGTCACGGGGGTCGCCAGTGCCCATGTCTAGCAATCACTGTGCGAGGGGCGGGGTACACCCTGGACGGGTCGCAAGTCCATCACAGGGCCACATAGAGACAAACAACCATTCACTCTCTCTCTCACACCTAGAGACAATTTAGAGTTACCAATCAGCCTAACATGCATGTTTTTGGTCTGTGGGAGGAAACCGGAGTACCTGGAGAAAACCCACGCATGCACAGAGAGAACATGCAAACTCCACCCAGAAAGGCCCTGGACCGGGATTTGAACCAGGGACCTGCTCGCTGAGAGGCAGCAGCTCTACCAGTTGTGCCACTGTG